GCATTTGACCAAAATTTTGACTTACCATAGTAGACTTTCGTGAAGGTCTACAATTTGTAGACTGCTAGGTAAGTCTACGGAAGGTCAGTTTTGCATTTGACCAAAACTTTGACTTCGTTGAATAGGTTTCTTTTGTATTTGACTAAAACTTACTTTACGTGTAGACTTCATATGCAGTCTACAAAACTTAGAAAAAAAAAGTAGACTGCATAAGAAGTCTACTATTTTGTTTTGGTCAATTGCAAAACTAACCTGTCGGGTAACAGTGTAGACTTTTACTGCAGTCTACAGTTGCGTAGACATTTAGTTCTGTCTACTCGTAGAAAGTCAACTTTGGTCAATTGCAAAACTAACCTCTTTCAAATAAATTTAAAAGTGTAGACTGCATAATAGGTCTACTTCTAAAAGTCAAACTCTGATCGAATTATGGTCAATTGCAAAACCAACCTTTTAAAAAATGTAGACTGAAAAGTAAGTCTACTCGTATAAAATCCCTTTTTTTTTTCCAAATACAGAAAGTAACCCGTGAATTTGGCAATTGCAGAAACCAACCTAAACGTAGACCTAATGTTCAGTCTACAACCTGTAAACTGAATAAAACGTCTACAGGTCTGTAGATTGAATATGTAGTCTACCATGTAAAATCTATCAAAAGTGGTTTTGTGTATTATTCATTAAGTTTTTTCAAAACTTTTTTNCTACAGGTCTGTAGATTGAATATGTAGTCTACCATGTAAAATCTATCAAAAGTGGTTTTGTGTATTATTCATTAAGTTTTTTCAAAACTTTTTTTTATGAAAGTGTGTGTTAGTTAATCATAAGTGTCTTGAATGATTTTCAGAAGATAATCTGTTATAATTAGGAAGTTATCAATTTTTTTGTTTGTCTATGTTGTTAACTTAAAATTTGTAGACGTACTTGTAAGTCTATGATATAATTTTATCAAACATGAAATTTTGGTTTGCTAATTATGTAAACCGTATTTTTGTTTTTGCAGGAAATAGCTCAATTACTCGTTGTATACAGAGAATGAGTGGTGAAAAACTCTAGATGTGTTAGTGTTATGTATTGAACTTATGAGTTGTCTTATTGCTATGGATGTCTAATTATGTATTAGTGTCTCATTGCTTTGAGTTGTCTTCTATTGGATTTGTAGGTCTTTAGAGTGTGTTGAACTTATAAACTATATTGTTGTTTTGGATGTTGTCTAATGTGATAGACTTATGCTATATTTTTCTCTGTCAAGTAGACTTTTTTGTAAGTCTACAAGAAATAATACTAATAAGTAACAAGCATGAGTGTTGCTGGCTTCTGATTTTTGTAACCAGCATGAGTGTTGCTTGTAGAAAGCTATGTATACACATCAAATGTAATGAAGATTACCTAATTTGGTCTTATCATATTCTATTCAATAACCAAATCAAGCTATTTGAATCTAGTGGATCCATCAATCATTCACATGTGACTTGTTTAATTCCAAAACACAAAGGGATGTAAGTGTACAAAGAGAACAAACCAAAGACCAAACTAATTAAAATTACATGTTTTTGGATGCATGTGTATGTTCATGTCTCTTGAATTCAAGAAACGTTGCTCTTGCACAGTCTCCAAACCTCCTCATGTACTCAGTTCTAACCGTTGAACCAAGTTGATCCAAGAAGAGTGCATCGATCTCTGGTAAAAGCTCAGATACTAACTCATACATTTCAAGAATCCTAAGCAACTTCTCAGGTACTAGCTGTTCGAACCAGACCAAGGGTACTTCCCCCTCGATGATTCTCTAATTAGAGAAGGTTGCCCTAAGACTCTGTCCACGTAACTCCAGATAACCTTGGCACCTTCTCTGCAACAAGCAATTTATAAGCTGACTACGTTCCTCAACCTTCAACAACAAACTCTTATGACTGGATTCTTTTTTCAATCAGTTTTAGTTTTTTACCTCGTTGTGTAGATCCCAGCTGCAAGAGCAGTGATACCTCCAACAGCAACAACCAGCTTATTTTGATCCGTTAGAATCATACGCAACCCACCTAGGAAAAGGAAAAAGAGTCAATCACCTATTGAGAAAGACACACGCCTAGTATATACTCACAAATTACTTATTAGACTCTTATTACTGATATGTTAAAACTGCCATAGAGAAGTTTCCACCATGAATGAATTAAAGCAAAAAAAAGAAGAAGATAATGTGTTACTAATGTCAGACCTCCAATGTGATCGAAAGTAGTGTTTATGGCTGAAACCCATTTTTCTCTTCTGCATTTGCACGATCAACAAGCATTCTCTTGTTGACGTCTTCAGAGAGCTTAGATTCACGGGCTCTCCCTTCAGCTTCAGCCATAGCTTTGACCCTGATAGTCTCGCGTTCAATCTCAACTTTCTCCCTCTCCGTTTGTCGCCTCTGAGCTTGAATCTCTTCCTTGGTAGCTCGTCGAGCTACTTCCCTCCTGATTGCTGATTCTTCTTGCATCTTCACAAGTTCTTGATTTCTTGTTCTCTGGGCTTCATTCTTAGCCTGTAACAAGATATACAGCATAACATTTTAGAAAGATATAAGTCCTCAATGTTATATAAATAAAAAGTAATTGTAGAATCACATGCCTGCATTCTTTTTCTTGCTAATTCATCTTCATAACGAGCCATCTGTGCTTTAGTTTGTGCTTGGTGCTGAGCAAGTTTCTTCTGTTCCTCGTATGTAACCCTTTGCCTCTCCTGCGAAAATGGAAAAAAAAAGGGTCAGGAACATAACTTTACAACCAGGAATCTTCAAATCGAACAATGAATGATGCAGTAAAACAATAACAGAAGTCAATTCTAGTAGGTAAAGAGAGACTAGTACGAACACGTTAAAAAATCAATTAAAAAACTGTCTCCACTCTCCAGACTATTCTAAGGTACTAGACATTGATCTGAAACCATGTGATTTAAAATATATATGGAGAATGAGAGCTAAGCTTAAGAGTAATTAAGATGAACTAACAGCTTCAGCTTGGGATTGCAAAGCTTTAAACTCTTGAGCCTTAGCAGTAAACTCAGCTTGCCTCGTCTCTTCTTGTGTCTTAATACTTTCAAATACCTACAAGAATAACAGATTAATCATTAAACTTCTCATCATTAATCAAATCTATCTACAGCCTAATTAACAATCTCAATTCTTAAAGACTTTTTTGGCGTGAGCTGAGTTGTTAATCCCCTTCAAGGCCTTTGCACCTCGCTCCAACGCCTCGGGATCGAACCCATCGGAAGTCGTTCTCGGATTATCGTTGCGAATCCGCGGAGGAGCATCGGAATCTTCGCTAGAAACAGAAGATTCTTTCCCAGATCCAGGTGTCGGCTGAGTAGAAGAGCCCTGGTGAGCCTGAGGAGTCGGAGAAGTGGAGAAGCCAGAGAAGTTGAGAGGTCTGTCCGCAGATGCGATATTCGATTTCGAGAGAGACGCGGCAGCTGCTAGAGCTGACATCAAACCAATCGCACATTTCTGAGCCATTTGGAAATCTCCTCAGATCTAAATGGCTTGATTAAGATTCTTTTTACCAGAAAACCCTAAAAAAATATTTATATGCTGTGTAATTTTTTCGGTTAGGTTAAATTAGTTAATGTAGACTGAAATATACGTCTACATATAAGTAGACTTTACTGTAAGTCTACTATACCCTAAATATTGGCGCCAATATGGAAAAATAGGCTCCAAAATTCATTTTCACTTCCCGCTTAGTTAATTTTAATTTTCAAAATAATTTAATTTGGTAAACACAAATTAACGTAGACTGAAATAGACGTCTACATATAAGTAGACTTTACTGTAAATCTACTATACCCTAAATATTGGCGCCAATATGAAAAAATTAGCTCCAAAATTCATTTACATTTCCCGCTTAGTTAATTTTAATTTTAAAATAATTTATTTTAGTAAACACAAATTAACGTAGACTGAAATAGACGTCTACATATCAGTAGACTTAACTGTAAGTCTACTATACCCTAAACCAGAAATCTCAAACCCTAAACCCCAAATCTCAAACCCTAAACGTTTGATTGACTATAAAACAAATCTTAGTCATTGTACCAAATATCATATATACAAAATATAAACTACTCAACATTAAATATGCAATTTTGAATCATTAAAACAAAATAATTCTAAATCTAGAATCTAACCCTAAGAATCTAACTCTAAAAGACATAACATGTTAGAACCTTTGGTTGCTAAACCATTAACATTGTCTACCACATAGTTCCNATATCATATATACAAAATATAAACTACTCAACATTAAATATGCAATTTTGAATCATTAAAACAAAATAATTCTAAATCTAGAATCTAACCCTAAGAATCTAACTCTAAAAGACATAACATGTTAGAACCTTTGGTTGCTAAACCATTAACATTGTCTACCACATAGTTCCCAAATCAATATACATTCTTTTAAATTGTTTAATTATAAGAAAATTTAATTTATCTACCTCATACTAACCTTTAAACTGATGATTTATTAAAAAAATTACCAAAAACATTTTTTTTACATTTTTAAAATTAAATTATTTGATTAAATTAAGATGTAGACTAAATAATAAGTCTACATTAGTTGACACAGTAGACGTTAATGTAAGTCTACCTAGATGTAGACTTCTTTCTTAAAGTGTAGACCTACGAAGGACAGAATCGTAAAATATATTCCATGTTTTTTGTTTGTTCATAAGGGTTAAATAGTATTTTTAACACCCCTTTAGGTTGGGTTTGCAATTGATTGAATATGGGGTACACCTTTAGGGTTAAAATGAATATTTGGGTTGGTTTTGGCAATTCCCCCTATAAAAAATTTCCGCGTTTTCAAGCGCGGGTTAAAATCTAGTTTTTATTATTTTCTTACGTACAGGTGAGAAAGTTATTAAAATTAGGATAATTATGTTACATTGGTGTGTATATATTTAATTTTGGAAGACACGGTGTATTTTACTTATTTGGATTTTGCTTAATTAATATTTCCCATAATTATCTAATGTTTGAAATCTTTTTCTAACTTTAAACATTTCAATTATTATTCACGTGATTAAATTAGGGCTATGAATTTTAATCGGAACCAAATACCTTAACCGAATCCAACCTGCTATGGACCGGTTCGGTTTTGTTATATACGATTTTTATCCAGAATCGAATGGATACCCGTTTCAAACCAAATTAGATTTTGACCCGCGCTTGAAAAGCGCGAAAATTTTTTATGATTAAAAATTTATGTAATTGGGTTTTATCTTAATTTAAAAAAAAAAATTGGGATAAAATCAGTTCACCAAATTATTCTTATTCATTAGTTTTTAGTTTCAGTTTTTATTTTTAGAGTTTGTTTTAGATTTTGGTTTTTATTTTTTAAGTTTATATTTTTGATTTTCAGCTTTTGGTTTGGGTTTTTAATTGTTTGACCCGCTGAGTTAGTTTGAACTGATATTACTAACAAACAAATTCCAAATAATCGAATATTTAATTTAAAACTGAAAAGATGACAAACAAAATTTTTAAAGAAATTTGCAATAGTTTATTTTGTAAATAAATAAAAGCAAAAAAATATAACCTGTTTTTCAGTTTTTGGTTTTGGATTTTAGTTTTTTTATTTGGTTTTTGGTTTTGCTTTTCATTTTTTTTTGTAAATCAGCAAATTATTTAAGAGAAATAAGAAAATAAATTATTTAAAGTTACCACTGAAGTTTATCAAAACAAAACGATTGTTATTTAAAATAAAAAATACATTAACATGTTTTAAAGTACATGATTTAAATAAATGATTAATGAAAGACAATTTTGTTTTGTTTATAACATATTAAATACCTTTTGGGTTTGAAAATAATAACTGGTTTTTTTATTCATTAAGGTGGAAAGTTTATTCAATGTTTTTTGGAGTTTTTCATTAATATTAAGCCCAAAACCCAAACCATATAATTTGTTCTAAAAACAAAAGTAAGCCCAAGACTATAGTCCAAGACTAAGTAATGCGGTTCAATTAACTATATGACTTGTATTATTTGTAACAGTCTATAAAGAGTCCAAATTTAAATGACAACTTGTATCAGTAGATAAAAAGAATGACTCTATTTTAATAGAATAGATAGAATAGATTCTATGTAAAAATACATAGGATTACATCTCCTAGGCATTGAACACACGTTGGCCCGAAAAACTATCAAGCCCAATATCAACACATTGTTAATACATTTACGATTTCTATTTTTTTATTTTAAAAAATAAAATAAACTATAAAAAGAATAAAACAAAAAAAAATTAAAAATAGAAAAAAAAAGAATATCTCGGATTTAAAATGGTATAATCGAACCAACCGGAACCGATCCAAATCCAAACTGTAAATTGACTAAGAGAAACTCCATTAGAGAATCATGAGATAGATTTACACGTTTTCCAAGGAAAAGAAATAATAAAATAAGGTAATTTTTGTGATCCCGGCTCGTGCAGGTTCAGTGGGATGAACTTGGTTCATCACTGTTTCGCGGGCCCCACACCACGTGACGGCCCGTATTGGTCAACTTTTTTTTAAAAAAAGAAAAGCAAACGAAAAAAAATTAAAAAATCAATATAATACATGTAGCAAACCTCTCGCAGTTCTCTGATGGGCATGCTCTAAGTACTCGGTCGCTAAATATTCGATTTACCTAGAACCAAACAGATCTTATTATGTAGAGCCGATCCGAATACCCGAAGTCCTAGCCTCTCAGCCCTAATCAAATTGAACGTTCCCCATTGAATAAGTGTCAATTTTCCATTATATTTTAGTATTATTTTCAACAATCTTCTTTTAGATTTATTTATAGGGAAATATGGCTCTATGACCTTACAAAAAACATAAATTCACTCAGTAGCTAAAATCACTTCCTCTCTCATACTTTTTTTTCCTATCTCTCTCTAACTTCTGTCTAAAAAACTAATTTCTTTTTTTTTCTTGGCCATTTCACAAATAAGCCCTTATTTATATGTCTTCTGCGGGAATGCCTCTAGGGCTTTGGGGAATGTGGAATCTGAAGCGATTGGCCAATCAACTAGAAGTTAGAACCTACGAACTGGCGTCATCAGTTGTTCCTCTCCGCTTAACGAGGGGTCTCAGGTATCTACATGTCTCTGAAATTTTTGTAATCCTCGTTTTACTTGTTGACTTTGTTGACTTCGAAGTAGATTTTATTCATAAATATATAACCTAGCTAGGGCTTGCCTTGACCTAGTTGTCGTCCTTGCTTGCTTATGACTGTTTATATTAGGGATATATATCCCACATCGGGAATTCAATGGGACCTTAAGTAATATATAAAGGGTTAGGGCCAATCCACTTATCACCAATTGGTTTTAAGTTGGAAGCCCATAATAAATCCAAAGTTAACATGGTATCAGAGCCCAGATCCTAAAAACCCTAAACTCCTAATTAATTAATTAACCTTTCCGACCGGGTATATAGGTCGTGTTTAACCTTCCGACTAGGTATAATTGTCGTATTTGACTCGCTCGACCGAGTATAACTGTCTTAAAGTTTCGAGATTTCTGGCCGATAAGAGCCATCATCTCGAGGAGGGGTATTAGGGATATATATCCCACATCGGGAATTCAATGGGACCTTAAGTAATATATAAAGGGTTAGGGCCAATCCACTTATCACCAATTGGTTTTAAGTTGGAAGCCCATAATAAATCCAAAGTTAACAGTTTAACTGGCTGTTCAGAATCTCTAATTTCGTGTCATTGCTTTGGAAGGATTTTCAGAACAAGTAGCTACCATGACAGTTACAAAATGGATTTGATAAGTGAGTTGCCTGAAGAGCTGCTCTTGAAAATATTGTCGCTACTGCCTGCGCAAGATGTTGCGTCCACGATGTTTCTGTCTAAAGGATGGCGGTTTCTTTGGATGTCTGTGCCAAGAATTGAATATGATGATAGCTACCAAAGTGTTGGATACGGAAAAATTTTCCGCTTTGTAGACAGGTTTTTGTTTCTCCATGAGGCTCCTGTGATAGAAACTTTGCATTTCAAACTTGGTAAGACCTGTGGTGTTGAACATATCCGAGTGTGGATTAGAGCCGCAGATAAATGCTGAGTGCGTGAGCTGATCATCGAAATCGACGGTGGTCTGGCGTCTAGTAAATCTCCACCCAGGGTACTTACAAAGTAGTTTGTACGCACTGAGTAGAATGCTTGTGACTTTGAAACTAAGTAAAGTGATCCTTGTGGAGCCTTGTATCTGTGGAGTACCCTGGTGATGAATTCGTCAGTAGTCTTTTATCAAGTTGTCATGTTCTTGAAGACTTGCACGTGGAACAATGTCCATCTGACAACGTGAGTGTTTTCACCGTATAAGAGTACCTTCTCTAAAGAGTCTGGTCATGCATGCATCAGATGATGATGATGATGATGACGATGAATATGGGTGTGTGATAGATACTCCTTCATTGGAGTGGTTGGACATTGTCGATCATAGGGAAGGGTATTGCATCATTGAGAATGACATGCCTAAGATTATGACGGCAAGTTTTGACGTCAATTATTCGCATTATGGGGAGATTATGCGTTCTATTACTTCAGTCAAGCGTCTCGATTTATGTTTATTAAATTCAAAGGTACTTGTTCTTTACTTATTGTTTGTTGTGTCTAGCTATCGTTATAGGTATAACAAACTGTCAACAACTTAGGATAACGACTTCTCTTATGGTTATGTCTCTTGTTTCTGAATTTTTCTGTCTCGTATAAATGCAGAATCAGTATCCTTCTGGTAGCGTTTTCTCATGTCTTGTACATTTAAAGATATGCACATGTGACGAAGAGTGGCTGAATCTACTTATGTGGATACTCAGATATTCCCCTAAAATAAAATCTCTCAAATTCGAAGAGGTTTGCATTTTTTTTTCATCTCAAATTATTTAGTTTTCTTCATTAGTATATATCTCTAATGCATTGTATTTCTTTGCCATCAATTTAATTATCCCAGTGCCATCACGTTGAGGCTTGTGACCCGCGTCCCTGTTGGAATGAACCGAAGTCAGTTCCTGAATGTTTGGTATCGAGTCTTGAAGCTCTTGAATGGGTAGGATATGAAGGAACTGAAGTAGAAAAAGAAGTAGTGGCATTCATCTTAAGAAGCGCAAGCTGTTTGAAGAAAGTAACCCTCGACTCTAGTTCTAGAGACCCTTGCAAGAAACTTGAGCTTGTCAAAGAGTTGTTGTTTCTGCCAAGGTGTTCAAGTACCTGTAATATTATATTTGACTGAAGGTGGTGAGTCAAAATTGATGATCTAAATCTTAGATTTTTTTTTATAATCTTTGAAAAATCTTGAAAGCTTATGTTTTAGCTCTTTGAATTTCTTAACTATATACTATTCTTGCATATTCGGTATATATAAGACTTGAAATAATGATTTGTTATATATTATTAACGGCCAAGCCGATTTAGCATTTGACAGCCCAAAGTGTACTTTTTTTTTTAACACATACAGTACATACCAAAAATCCCAAAACATATAGAGGCAATTTAAAGAGGCCAATAGCAAAACTGTTTCCAAGGTCTCCCAAACTCGACTATGTCCACAACTGAGCAAACACACAAACCAACACCATCCGGTTTTTTTAGAACAAATGAAATAGTTTTGACTTAATCATCCAGGCATTGAGTAGCTTTTTTTAATTATTATATAACGTGTTTCCTTGAAGGTTAAAGTATTTTAATTTTTTTGATAAAAATATGTGAATATATAATTCTGATTACATATTTGCTGATTGGCAAGGAGCTTTATTGGTCAAAAACAAGCACGCATACATTATGATGCAGAGAATACATTATGAACAAACATGTACACGTTCATAGGACACGATCATATCAATAGTTTATCTGAAAAGCCAAAAGGGGTATGGCTTTGTTATGGTCAGGAGCGGATCTAGGAATGTATTTAGATAGTGGCACATGATTTTTCCTCATTATGTTTAACTTTTGGGTTGAGACATGTGCATGTGCCACCGTATGTTTGTCTCTGCGTCCGCCCCTGGACTTACGGTGGAGGATTTAGACGTCATGTTTATGGAAGACCAAATTATAGCACATGAGAAATATTGATAGAGGTAAGGTCGCGAAAGGAATTAAGGAAGATACACATGGACATGAGTTAAACGTGTCAACAGGTGGAAACATCTTGACGATGAAGACTTGAGCAAGATAGACGACCAAGTCTTATGAGAAGCTTCCTACACGGTACACACTTGTTAACTGACCAAGAGATAAAGAAAATATGTGTATTTATTTCGTTATTTGATGATCTTTTGATGTTTTGTGTGTGAAATTTTCTGAGTGTCTGCCTTTAAGGCTTGGATCTATATCTAACGTCATGCATTGCTGTGGAAACATCTGTGTCTGTTGGTCGTTAAAACGTTTTTCAGATGGTCACAATATGAGATCCTTTTTGACATCATCTCTCGTTAATTAGGACACTTCCTGCCGAAACATATGTGAAATGAAACACCGAGTTCGTTTGATATTCTTTGACTATTGCTCTTCCGGTGTGGTCCATTTGACTATTGTATTCATTTTGTAATTATGAACAAAATTATTTGATATATATATATTTTTTTAAATATGTGTTAATTAATTTAATTTATCTATTAGCTAAATTCTGTAAAAAAAAATTGAATTATGTGTTTTTTTTTAATTGTAGAAGTCTTTTTTTTGTTGCAATTTCTTGGTTTCATCATTTTTGTTCTTTTGTTGTTCACTTATCTTATTTTTTTTCCATTTTTTCCCTTTTAGTCATATTTTTTAGGGGAAATTTGGAAAAATACCTTTATGTGAGATTATATTTTGAAAATTACTCCCATTTTTTATTTTTTTGAAAACTACACGTCTTTATAGGTGAAATGACCAAATTGTCAAATTTGAATGTTATAAATACTCTAATATCTAAATTAAAATCTTAATAAAATTATTTTAAACATTGTTTTCTTTTATCATCATTAAAAATATATTAGTACAAATAATAAAGAAAACAAGAATCTCGATAAAATAAAGAAAAACGGAATTAATGTTAAGAATTTTTTTTAAAGAAAAATATCAACGATACAAAAACTAAAAAATAGCATTCGACGTTTGCAAAAAAAAAAAAAAAAAAAACACATTCAAGTAGCTCAATTTGCTGCTTCCCTAGCAAAAGCTCTTCAGATTTTCATCACTATTAAACACATTCTTGTTAGTAGGATTCTTTAGAAAAACAAAAAGTCAGTAAAGCGAGCGTTCTTAGCAAATAACTAAATGATCACTTGTTCCAACTCGAAGGTTTTCGTCTTCTTATACGACTAGACACACATTGATGATCTTTTGCTCTTTTTATCACACAATGGTTCGAAGGACGAGTGATCTTTTGTGAACTTTGTGCATATGTAACACAGAAGACTCTTGCAGTTTCATAGAATATATGAATTAATTTTACCACTCTTAAAAATATTTGAAGTCTCTCTTTTCCTGTCAACAGTCTGTTCATCTTTTTATGCCATGAAGACAACAACAACATTAACCTGCAATTATCTCAAGAATATATTTATCACAAACATAAATAATAATAGTATTTTCAGATTGTGTTTTAGTTATTAATATTTGTAATTTACTTTAAATAAGGATAAGAATGTCTTATCACACATAATAAAATGTAGTTTTAAAAAAGGGAAAAAAGAAAACTATTTTTCAAAATTCAAATCATAAACAGGATATTTTTCAAATTATCCCTATTTTTTAAGTTGTTATTTAAATATTTTAAAGGGAGATTTTCTTGGGTGCTCACATTGTAGATATTGACACCAGGTACAGTATGGTTAAGTTAAGACAAAGAATAAAGTCCTCGTATAACTAGAGTATCATCCTAAATACTCTCTATAACATTAGACCAAGTCTTTATTTGGGGTTTTTATATTTTAAAATATAAAATATCTAGATTTTTTATTAGCCAGTTACTGTGTATCAATAATTGACATTATTATTATTTTTATTTTTTCAGTACGATACAACGCCGCGGATGTGTTTATGTATATAGTAACTGGAAATCTACGTTGTTATCTCCCAAGACTTTGGCATAATATCTCATTCTCATACTCTTATTAGCCTTTCTCTATATAAAGCTCACAGGTCGAGAGAGACAACATACACTACATAAACGATCAGACAGTTGATTGAGAAGATATCTGTCGGAACATGGAGGATATCAACCAAGAATTCAACAATTACTGGGAACCTAACTCCATCCTCCAAAACGAAGAGCTTGAATACGACAGGTTTCTTGCATCTTTTTCTTGCTTACTTTCTTTGAAGCATTTGAGTTCTTGATAGTTTTTTCTTGTTAATAATATAAAAAGCTGGCCGTTGGAGGAAGCTATCTCTGGGTCGTATGATTCAAGTTCGCCTGACGGGGCGGCTTCTTCGAAGAATATTGTGTTGGAGAGAAACAGAAGACAGAAACTTAACCAAAGGCTATTCGCTCTTCGAGCAGTTGTTCCTAATATCACTAAGGTGCGCAACTTTTAAACTCTTTGTCTTCCAGTTACAAGATCTAAGCTTATTATTATTATGGATTTTGTATTATTTTTCTGGTAGATGGATAAAGCATCAATAATCAAAGATGCTATTAGTTACATACAAGGGTTACAATATGAAGAAACAAAGCTTGAAGCTGAGATCAGAGAACTTGAATCTACACCAAAGAGTAGCTTGAGTTTCGGTAAAGATTTTGATCGTGACTTATTGGTTCCTGTCACATCCAAGAAGATGAAGGAGCTTGATTCTGGTTCTTCCTGTTCTCTCATCGAAGTTCTTGAAGTAAGTTTCTTGGTTCCTAGTTGCACCTTGAATCACATATTTTAAGAAAGGGTTTTGCACTAAAAATATAGTGGGGTTTGGGGTGATTGAAGTTGAAGGTAACATTCATGGGAGAGAGGACAGTGGTGGTGAATGTAACATGTAATAAGAGGACAGACACAATGGTTAAACTGTGCAAGGTTTTTGAGTCATTGAATCTCAAAATCATCAATTCTAACCTCAACTCTTTCTCCGGCATGATCTTCATCACTCTTTTCATTGAGGTCATCATCTCTATCTCTCTCTTTCCATTTTGAATTTAGTTTAAAGTATTATTTAGAAGCAATGATTAAAATTAGTCAAGAAGTGGATAGTTAACTTTTAAAGAAAAAAAAGTAAAAAGAAGCAATCAAATACATAACTTTAGTTAGCTTTTCTTAAAGTGTCCATTATCCAATGCTAATTATGTAAATCACAGGGTACTAGTATATTTCTCAAAACATTTCCTAATATTTAAAATAACCAAAGTAGAAGTAAGTTTTTATCTTTGCAAGTTTTTAGCTTGTAATTTGATTTCCTAATTTGGGTAAAGCGTGAGTCGTATTTATATAATAGATTTTGCCATTTCATCTGATTTTATTGAAGGATTTTATTTGGTTTAAGTCTCTAATCGTGCCATATTATTTTAAGACCAAATGTCTTATCGGTAGCGGTGGCAATGAGCCATTGTGGTATTACTTAATTTGTTCACCTGAGAAAAGAGATATTAATACTTTTCCATATAAGATTTCTTGATTTGATATTGATTTAGACGACGTGGACCTTTCTGGTTGATTTAAAATAAGATCTTATTAGAGTAAACTAATGATTAAATTAGGAGAAAAAAATATTCGGCTCATAGTCTAATTTTTTGCGTTTGGTCAATACATTTTGTTTTGTTGGCCACTTAACCGTGTAATATACAATATATTCCTATTGCCTAAATTTGGTCATCTACTAAATTGCATGATTTTAAAATGTAAATAATATATATTCCTATCTCCACTGCAAAAAACGTCAGTTGTAAAAATTGTATTAAAAAGGAATTTAGCTTTCTTGTTTTTCTGTGACTTCTTATATGTTCTAAAATCAGTTTAAGTGATGTTTAGACGTCCGAATAGTCGGAAAAATCGGATCTAAACACAATATTAATGATGTGTTGTTTAAGCACTCAAAATCAGTGTAGAGGTCCGCATAATCAATAATACCATATTTTGCGCCTAACTACCACTTATTGATTTATAACATAAATGGAATCTATATCGGAAGCTTCCAGTGTGGAGCAAACATTTATTGGAGTGTTGTTTCACTTTATCCTTTTGAAGAAATATTGGTCCCACACTAATTGGTTGGTCCATTTGGCTATTAAAAACGAAAATAAGATTATGTACTAGTCCCTCCATTTCTAATTAATTATAGTTCTACCATAAATTATTTTTTTCAAAATATATGTCGTTTTATGTTTTAATATAATAATAATAATTATTATTATTATTTTAATTAAACTAAAATAAATATTAAATATTATGTAATTCTAATGGTTAAACAAAAATAAATTTGAACATTTAATTAATTTTTTAATTTGTGTGTAAAACTCTAATATGAAAAATAATTTAAAATGGAGAGAATATGTGGTAAGCAGAATATGATTGCTTTGTAATGAATATTGCGAATTTAATAACAGTGCATTAGTGTTCCAAGAAAAAGAAAAAACTAACAATGTATAAATGATAAAATATAGCTAATCCTGCCAAATATGTAATATATCGTCTGGAGTTAATAAATTATAGTTGATTCCATCAAATGCCTCATACAGAAATAAAGAAACTATAAGAGTCAATAAAGAGGACATAAGAATTTGATCGCAATTGCTGATATAATAATACGTGGTGGCTTTATCTTTAATGAGACCTGTCTCTAATATGACTCATGTCTCCATTTGAGTTTTCAATTTGTAATGTCCCGTTAAAGCATTGATGATATATAATTTAATATTTTGTCTTGCAAATTAAAAGGCGGATGAAGAAGAACAAGAGGTGTTGAGGTTGAAAATAGAATCAGGAATAGGAGCTTATAATGGAGCTCAGAGTCCCACTTGGAGCATCGACTCTCTTTACTAAAAAGTTTGTGTTTTAGTTTCTCTCTTTGCAAACAATAATAAGTCTCTTTTCATTTTATTCTCCCTTAGTTTTGTTTGTCCATCACGAAGACTTCTTTTGCTTTATGTAATGTCTATAGTTATCGTACGCATTGTTCTTTTTATTTATTTGGCGGGAGGGGGGTGGGTTGGGGAATGGTATGTTCGTCCTTAATACAAAGAGAAATGTAAAAGAAGATTTGGTTCTTATTTTCACTGGTAGATAATGCAATCTTAATAGTAAGTTAAATGAAGAGAATGAATCAATGATTGATTTACGCTTAGCATAATGATTGTAAATAAAAGAAACTGATAACATGCCAATTTTTGTTAGGTCAAGATAACAACAAAGACTTAGTTCAAAAAAAGATAACAACAAGTCATCTAGCATAACATACAGTGAAACCTTTATAAATTAATAATATTGGGATTACACTAAAATTTTATTTTTTATTAATTTAGAGAGACATTAATTCATTGATATACTAGTCGAATCAAAAACTCAATTTGGAATTAATTTATCGAATATTAATTTATAGAAATTCAACTGTATATGACTCATAAGTGACTCATCCGTTCATGAATACATATATGAATTGACTAGGATGGAAAAAGAATATCTAGTGTTATGGGTTTTGTACTAATTGAGGATGTCTGTGATACATTACACACATAGATTAGTTGATTAACATAGTCTTTATCTACTACTCCGGGGGATGACGGTTAATCTTTGCATGTGCGATTGGTTGTTCTTAATTATGGTTGGGATTATCTTACACATAGTTCATAAAGATCTATGAAAACAAGAATAACAGCTTTCTCACTAGAAAACTCTAATATTTAAGGCGGGATTGTTCAATTAAACATCTCCTTATTATTAAAATAGAAGCAACTAAAAAGAGTAACCTTAATAATGTATTTTATTTACAAGAGTGTCATTTTGGTGACGTGTCAGCTCTACAGAGCTTCTCAGACCACATTTAAAAATGTCCACTCCCGTCTAGGAAATTTACAAGAATTGCCATTGGACTAACATTTGTAATATAAAGTTTTTTACATAAAAATGTATCTTGCGTATAGAAAGGATATGTTTACAGTTCATTGTCTCTCCTCTTTCCAAAATAATTGAATCCAACAGTCTCAGGTGATCTGAGCCTTCGGATCTCTCATCTCCTACCGACGTTTATTGCATGTACTTGACTATGGTGGTCCGGAATTTCCTAAGCCATCAAACAATTTCCGCCGAGTAGTGAAATCGACGGAAGCCATTGACGACGGTTGTCCGATATATAAGCTTCGTTTCGTTCTCGCGTGCGTGTCCATTTTTTTTTCTGAGATTAGGTGCCGATGATGTCGGGTATCTCAGCGACTTTCTGAGTTTGTCGAGCTCTGAGATTGGAGAGTATAGTAATTGAATTGGGTAATCATCGTTTATCATAAATCGAGAATGTGAGATTTGAGGGAACGTTTTAGGGATGTTGCCGATTTGTATGGGAGATGGTGAGAGAGACGATTTTGTGATGTTTCTGAGGATGTCAAAGAGACAAGAGGTAGGGTCAGGGATGGAAAATACGTGAGGTTAACGAGACGATCCTGAGAGGCCGTTGCGGCTGGCGGCAGAGGAATGAAGAGACGGCGGGGAAGAAGTACTGGAGCGAATCAGGGAGGCGAGGACATGGGGAAGACGAGGTGCGAGGAGTGGGAGCTTCGAAGATTACTACGGCAGATTCGTTCGGTGCTGTCGTTTTTGGTGGTACCTCTGAGCGATTGCACAATGGGCATCAGACTTCAAGGCCAATTATTGTTTTCTCTCTATTAAGAATCTAAACTAATTTATCAGAATATTTATTTCTGGGGATGGAGAAATCAGGTGGTGAGCTAGCCATGGATCGAGTAGTAGTGGGAGTATGTGATGGTCCAATGTTGATGAACAAACAAGTAAGCCATCTCTACCTCTCAAATCTGTTATCATCTTTCCTTTTTCGCCTAGATTAGTTTAGTATTCTACACGATTTGTAATAGCAAGTCATTCGACAACAAGGAATCTAGCAACTTATGTGAGATTGAAGTCTCTCTTATGGCTAAAATCGTTGTATTTCGAGTTTTTGTCTTTTTACAAAAAGTTTATGTGGTTTAAAGCTGAAACTGTTACGCTTTGCTGACGAGCTTGAAAGTTTCAAGATCTCATAGGCATTAAGAGTTCAATTCCACTACTTATGTGAGATTTGATTCTAAGTCCATTCGCCTTAGTTCTTATCATTAGTTTAAAAGATGTGTTCTTGCCGTCGATCTTGGTGCCATGTGATTAAGGGAGAGGAGAGTTATGAGGAGGAGGAGAAAGAGGAAGCTGATGATGAGTATAGGAAACACTAAGAAATCAATGATGCCAAGAGGATTAAACTGGCAGAAGATGATTCGGCAGGTCATGTAGATGGAGAGGAAGATAAGGAGAACCAATCGTCTCAGTACCAACTGGTGGAGCTTTTTATATGCACGATGACATGTTTCACGAGTTGTCTGCTGTCCGAAGCAGGTACACACTTTTCACTGTGTTTTCTTTTCACAATCTTCTCAACTGAAATTGCTTTTATTAGAGAGATATGTAGATTGAAAGGTGGAGTTTTTATCAAGTATGAATGAGTGGTATAGCTGCATTTGTTTTGCTATGATAAATTTTAGCCAAGATTTTAGCCAAGTTCATGCTAATCCTATTGGCAACATGAAAACAAATTATGAATACTAATTAGATCTTCCTAAACCTTCTGTTTGTCAATTCATGGTAATCTCGATTGATATACTCTTTATTTTGTCTTTCTTAGGAGAATGTGGAAGACAGTTATTTTACTTAGCCGTTGATCTTGGTGTCATGTGCTTACGGCTTTAAAGCGCTCTTACGCATTGGATGTAATCTATGTGATTAAACTCTTCACTGCCGACAGGTAAAGTAGTTCAATGATGCCATGTAACTCAGTAGCAAAATGCCATTGTTCTAGGAATACAAAATCTGATTATTCACAGCTCATACTGCCCAGATTTTACTGGCCATGAGTCAATTTAGGGGACCACCTGCTTCGCCAAGAGCTATAGCAGACCTTCCGGGAACGGTTTCGATCAACACTACTGTTAACGGACCATTTTCGTTCCTCTACCCAGATAAATAAGGCTTTTTGTAGTTTTTGTTCGGTTTTGTTCTTATCTTATTTGATAAAACGTGTCACAACAAACCAATTCTTGGTTAGGATTGATTTTATAAAAATCCAATATTTGTTATAATCAACCAAGCTCGGTAGGCTGAGAGCTATTACATGCTATTTTGATAATTTATGCATGTTATTTTATATATGAGTTAAGTAGTAGTTTTAACATATTAGTGAACATAGCAGTCGCATAATAATACTAATCATCTATTCTATTAAAATAGAGTCATTCTTTTTATCTACTAATACAAGTTGTCATTTAAATTTGGACCCTTTTTAGAGTGTTACAAATAATACAAGTTATATAGTTGATTGAACCGCATTACTTAAACTAAACCGACGGTTATTTATGGAATAGAGTTTTAGACTTACTTTTGTTTTTATGACATTTAATTGTTCGGTTTTTGGGCTTAGTATTAAAGAAAAATTCCAAAAAACATTAAATAAACTTTCCACCTGGATCAAAAATCAATTACTATTTTCAGGCCAAAAATATTTAATATTTTTAACAAAACAAAATTATCTATTATTAATCACTTATTTAAATCATGTACTTTAAATCATGTTATTATTTTTAGCCCAAAAATATTTAATATTTTCAACAAAACAAAATTATCTATTATTAATCACTTATTTAAATCATGTACTTTAAAACATGTTAATATTTTTATTTTAAATAACAATCACTCTATCTTGATAAATTTTAATAGTAAATTTTAAATAATTTATTGTTTTATTTTTCTTAAATAATTTACAGATTTAAAAAAAAATGTAAAGCAAAACCAAAAACCAAATCTAAAAACTAAAATCCAAAACCAAAAGTTGAAACGCAGACTATACTTTTTGCTTTTTTTATTTACAAAATAAACTATTTGAAAATTTTTAGAAAATTATTTTGTCATCTTTTCAGTTTTAAATTACATGTTCGATTAATTGAGATTTGTTTGTTGGTAATATCAGTTCAAACTAACTCAGCGGGTCTAAGAATTAAAAACTCAAACCAAAAGCTGAAAATCAAAAATAGAAACTTAAAAACTAAAAACCAAAATTTAAAACAAAATCTAAAAATAAAAACTGAAACTAAAAACTAATGAAAAATAACTATCACCACAAATTTTGGTAAACTAATTTTATATCAAAACATTCTTTAAATTAAGATAAAACCTAATTATATAAATTTTTAATCATAAAAAATTTCCGCGCTTTTCAAGCGCGGGTCAAAATCTAGTAATATATATTCGAAAAGTATTTAGGTTTCTAGTGAATAACTTTTGGAAACACCATTTTGGTACATCATTTAGTCAACAGTTACATGGACAGAGTTTTGCTAAAGCATTTCTCTGTCGTTCGAGCCGGTATGATTCATGGTTAGATGGAAAATGTTCATGTCAAATTGTTTGCAACATATGTTATACATTTTTCTTCTAATTAATATTTAGTTGTTGAGATGTGTAGTCATATAATATAACTCATGTAAGGAGTAATATTACTAAAATCTCCACAAATCAAACTAAAAAAAAACTGGAATGACTATTCCACAATAAACTGGTTGTGTCTAAAACCTTTTTACACTTTATTTCATAAATGTAAAGTATAAACTATAGACTTTTCGACCAAACAAAATATTGACATAGTTCCTAGATAAAAGATCTAAGATTTCACAGGAACAAGTAGAAGATCATGTTTCTTATGGGCAGTGAGTCCAAAAGCTTCATCCATGTCAACATCATCAACACCTTCTGGCAGCTTCCAGTCGAACTGATATAAGAGATTCGCAACACCAAACTCAACCGTTGTAGCCCCCAAGTACATTGCTGGACAAATTCTCCGACCACCTCCAAAGGGTAACAACTCAAAGTGTAGCCCATTTGCCTCAATGTCACAGTCCATAAACCTCTCTGGGATAAACTCTTCTGGATCTTTCCATACCTTGGGATCACGTCCAATACCCCACGTGTTGACATGAAGCCTTGTCTTTGGTTGAATGGTGTAGCCGTTTATCTTGAACTCAGATGTTACTTCTCTTGGTACTAGAAGAGGTGATACTGGATGTAACCTCCATGTTTCTTTGATCACCATTTTCAAGTACTTGAGTTTATCTGTCTCATCTAAGCTTATGACTTCATTGTTTTTGCCTATATGGTCTCTGATTTCAGATTGAACTTTTTTCATCACTCGTGGGTTTCTTGCGAGTTCTGCCATTGCCCATGTCATGGTTATTGCAGAAGTATTGATTCCCCCTAGAAGAACGTTCTACAGACAAAGATATATAGTTAGAACATCTACATTCATTGGTGAGTTTTTTTAAGTGAAAATATTTCAATATTAATATATGTTAGTTATGTAACTAAAATTTAATACTAAAAATAGTTTTATTTACAAGAAAAAAATTGTTTGAAAAATTCTCAACTATTTATTTTCTTTTCTCATTTTTGGTTATTATATCTTTTGTGGGAGACTACCAATTAGAAGTCCTGATAGAAACAAAAACTATTTGTAGTAAATACATGAAACTATTTCCTTATTGCTAATTTATTCTCGACCTTAACCTTGAAATTTTTATGAGATATGGACTATACTCTTTTTGTTTTGCTAAAATTTGGTGCACTATACTTACCATCAAGATACCTTTGATATGGTTTCTTGTGAGTTGGCCATGTCCAAGAACAGCTTCTTCCTTCTCCAGCCTCAAGAGCAAGTCCACAAAGTCATCTTCACTTCTATCTTCTCTGTTCTTGTGGAGATGTAAATCAATCATTTGTTCATAGAAAGCATCTAAATCTCTCACACTTGCCTCTCTCCTTGCATGTAAACCTGTGAACCAATCAAAGATCCAACCGATATATGGGAAAAAATCTGAAGCAGAGAAGCTCCCCAACATCTCAATAGCCTCATGGACTAAACCTTGAAACTTTTCATTGTTGAGCACAGTTCCCTGAAAACTCACACCAAATGATGCCTTGCAAACGACGTTAACATTTAGAGAAAGAAACTTCTCACTCAAGTTAACTGGAGTTTCCTCAGAGGCAGATTCAGTGATTGAATCAATCAGCTTCTTCATCTCCATCTTCTTGATGGGTTGAATCAAGTTCACTTGTTTAGTACTGAATAGCTCCCTGACACACAGCTTCCGTAAATCTTTCCAGTAATCATCATACCGAGAGAAAGCAATGTCTCTATAGTTATAAGAGAGCTTTCTTGTGCCTGAAGACAATCAAAACCTAACTAAGAAAAATCAGAGAAAGACAAAGAAGTAAAATTAATGAAAATATATATATTTATTACCTTCTAGGCTTGGACGGGTACAACAATTAAGGTCATGGTCTCTAAGAACTTGTTTGGCTGTTTCAGGGGAAGAGACTATAACGGTTGAAACTCTTCCAAGTTTCACTAACATCACAGGACCATACTTCTTTGAGAGTTCCCATAGAGAACGATGTGGTAAGACTCCGAGCTGGTGCAAGTTTCCGATGAACGGTAAGCCGGGAGGAGATGGTGGTTGCCGACACCGCCGCTGATTATTGCGTTTCACGGCGGCGATAAGGATAAAGATGAGGAGGAAAATAGATAGAAGCCAAACAACTGCCATAGTCTTTAACACGTCTCACGTTTCTAAGTGACTAAGGCCCTGTTCGTTTGCTCAGTTGACTGACACATCTGGGTGAAGGTGAGTACTGATGTTCGTTTAGTGTAATTAATAGATACATTCGGATGGATCAGTTGGGTGAGTTTTGAAAACTCAGCTGATTTTTTTTAAAAAAGCTGGCTGAGTCTTCACCATGCATCTAACTGCAGATGATTCAGTCTAAAAAGGTTAATGNAAGGCCCTGTTCGTTTGCTCAGTTGACTGACACATCTGGGTGAAGGTGAGTACTGATGTTCGTTTAGTGTAATTAATAGATACATTCGGATGGATCAGTTGGGTGAGTTTTGAAAACTCAGCTGATTTTTTTTAAAAAAGCTGGCTGAGTCTTCACCATGCATCTAACTGCAGATGATTCAGTCTAAAAAGGTTAATGACAAAAATGACCCTGCTACACATAACCCTAAAGTTTCACTCTCACGCTCTCACCTCTCACGTCTCACCTCTCACGTCTCACGCTCTCTCTCTCTCTTTTGGGGGCAGATCTATCTTATCTCTCTCTCTCTCTCTCTCTCTCCGGCGGCCTCTCTCTCCGGCGACCTCTCTCTCCGGCGACCTCTCTCTCCGGTAGTGAAGCAGTAAGATTCTCTCTCTCTCTCAGGTTCTCTCTCTCTCTGTTTCATATGAAATCTAATCTCTCTCTCTCTCTCTCTCTCAGGTTCTCTCTCCGGCGGCCTCTCTCTCCGGCGGCCTCTCTCTCCGGCGACCTCTCTCTCCGGTAGTGAAGCAGTAAGATTCTCTCTCTCTCTCAGGTTCTCTCTCTCTCTGTTTCATATGAAATCTAATCTCTCTCTCTCTCTCTCTCTCTCTCAGGTTCTCTCTCCGGCGGCCTCTCTCTCCGGCGACCTCTCTCTCCGGCAACCTATCTCTAGCTCAAGTAAGAGTCTCGGAGATCTAAATAATGTGGGTTTTCTGTGTTGTGGCTTTTCTGTGTCCCTGAGATCTTAATGCAATTACTCTCTCTCAGGTTCTCTATCTCCCTCACTCCGACGACTCTCTCTCACTCCGACGACCTCATCTCCGGCGACCTCTCTCTCTCTCGCTCAAGTAAGACTTTCAGGGATATAAATGTTGTGGGTTTTGTTTGCATCTGTAGCTTATAAGTCTGGACTTTGGATTAAACAATTTTGGGTTTTGTTTGCATCTCCTTATTTGTTGTGGGTCTTCGTTGGATTTGATTCGTTTTCTCTGCGTCTTCTTCTTTATTGTTGTATTGTGTTCACAAACTCTGTGGCTTTACTCGAATCTGGTTCTCTTATTCATAGTGTTTCTGGGTTTCTAGGCCATTTAGATTGTAATGGACAATCGGATTTGAGTTTGGGAGAGGAAGAAGATGTAGTATTTATCATTTACAACAGAAATTGAATACTTGGATCTACGAACATTAGATTTGCTTTTATAATCTTATGAGCTCTAAGCTTATTGTTTTCTGACTCTTTACAGTTCATTTATAATCTTGTAATCTTGTAAGCTCTAAGCTCTAAGTAAGGATTAAACAAAAGTGTATCAGCTGAGTTTTGTTCAAATCTCTATGTTTTGGGTTTTGTTTGCATCAGTCTTTATGAGCTTTTCTTAATGTGGATTCTAATACAACATTGCCATTAAGTTTACTAAGAAAGCTTTTCTTAACTTGTTTAATCTTTCTAGAAGTCTAGTGGATTCTTAAGTGGTCAGAGTCTGTTGCATTTTGATGATTTAAACGTTGTTGGTAGATGACTGTTGTGACGTCTATTTAAACTTTTTTTTGGTAATTTGGGACTGGAACTGTGGCTGACGTTAAGAGTCATTGCATTATATCGGTCATGTGATCTTTTTTCTTGGCTTTTACAACATTTGTAAATAAGAAAGCTTAGCTTTGTATCTTTCTTTTGGTGTCTAGCAGGTGCAAGAAGAAGCTTTCCCATTCTATTAAACAATGACATCCATCCCTGGAACTGATGTGAGTATCTTCCTCTCTAATCTTTTATTTGATCTCGGCTATGTCATGCTTTTCTTATGTCTTAAATCTTCAAATAAGAATATTACATGGAGTGACGAGCAAACACGCTACTATCTTCAACTGAGACTTGATGAGAATCTGAAGGGAAACATAAGAAAAAAGACGGTGAATGAGGCTGGGAGACAGATGATAATGGATAAGTTCTATGAGGCATTTGGCATAAAAATTCCATGGAGAAAATTCGGGATTAAGTACA